ACACCACATCGTGGCGCCAACGACCACCATTATGCTAAGATGCCCACTGCCGTGCGCAACAATCAAAATTAAAAATGCCTGGGGACGGCAGGGGGCCACCTTTCCTCTAAAATGCAGACTGCCGTGCGAAGAATTCACAATCTGTGTCAGTGGACTGGAACACGCAGAGTAGTAGCCGCCAACGGCGGGACAGCCCCCGCCCGGCAACACGTGGACCATATCGTGGCGCCAACGACCACCGTTCTTCTCAGATGCCCACTGCCGTGCGAAGTATTCAAGATATGTTAACCTCCTGCTCCCTCCTCGGGAGCGCCGAAATTGCGACAATGACACGAAGACAGATGCAACTCCTGATCCGTCTATTCCGTCCCCTCCATGACAAGCGGACACGCCAAAGCTGTTCAAAAACCGATGGAAAAGAAATGTTTGCTGGCCTCTTCGAGCTCTTTGGGGAAACCTCTTGGAGGCCTCTTGGGTATCTTGGGGCCTCTTGGGCCAGTCATCTGGAAATGATCTTGGGCGTCTTAAACCGTCTATGTGGCCATCGGCTCATCCCGCCACTGTGCCTGGGGGTTGTGGTTTAGAGGCCTCTTGGAAGTTCGTTTGGATGTCGTGGCAGGCCCCTCGGGGGCTTCTTGGAGGCTTTGGGACCGTTTGGGGGCCACTTTTTCGGCCATTCGGGGTCCTCGTGGGGCCTCCAGGGGGCCTCTGGGGCTCCCTTGGGGGCCGCTCGGAGCCTCCAGGGAGCCTCCTGGGGCGGAGGGCTCGAATTGTCGACTCGCGTTCCCCCTCTTGGGCCCTTTTTGGGGCCATGATGGGGCCCTCTTGGGCGATCATGGCCCCCCTGAAGGGACAAGAAGCCCTTCAGGGGGGCCAAGAAGTTCATCAGGGGGGCCTTCAACGAACTCAGAGCTGGAGGATTTGCATCCTCCGGAAACCTCTTGGCCGTACTAAAGCCCACCGGGCCACACAAAAACCCATCTGGCCGCAGTAAAACCTTATCTCCTCGCCCCCGGGCCCCCACCCCACGAAACGTCTGCTCTTGGGACCCTCCATCCACACTACCGCCATTTCTCGCCCGAAACCCACCAACGCCCCCCACCTCGCCCCGGCACCCCCACCCAACGAGACTTTTGGGACCCACCACCCCGCAATTTCTCGCCCGAAACCCACCGACGCCCCCCACTTCGCCCCCGCACCCCAACCCCACGAGACGTCTGTTTTGGGACCCCCCGCCTGACAATTTCTCGCCCGAAACCAACCAACGCCCCCCGCTTCGCCCTGGCACCCTCACCCCACGAAGCGTCCGTTCTCAGGCCCGAAACCCACCAACGCCCCCCACTTCGCCCCGGCACCCCCACTCCACGGGACACCTATTCTTGGGACCTCCCACCCCGCAATTTCTCGCCCAAAACCATCGACGCCGCCCTGTTGGGAGTGACTCGGGACCGTCTTGGGCTGCCCGGACGGCTGCTGGAATCCTCTCGGAGGCAACTTCTGCCCTCCCTCCCAGCTGAGGACCCGGCCCTCGGGGCACACGTCTGTGATCGAGGCTCTGGCCCGGGGGGGGCCCAGAACTGGTTCCCCGTTGTAGATCAGAGTGAGGGGGCCGAACGGTCATTCACTGTCCCTGGGTGCGTGGCTGATGTGGAATTCCGCGGTGCGGATTCTTGTTGTTGCTGTTGTTGTTTGTTGTTGTTGTTGTTTGTTGTCGTCGTCCCACCCGCAACCCCCGCGACCCACCCGCGACCCACCCCGCGACCCACCCCGCGATCCACCCGCGACCCACCCGCGACCCACCCGCGACCCACCCCGCGACCCACCCCGCGACCCACCCCGCGACCCACCCCGCGACCCAACCCGCGACCCACCCCGCAACCCCCCCGCGGCCCACCCCGCGACCCACCCGCGACCCACCCGCGACCCACCCGCGACCCACCCGCGACCCACCCGCGACCTACCCCGCGACCCACCCGCGACCCACCTTCGACCCAAACCACTTTCAAGGTACAAACCACAATTTTCGGCGCCTGCGGCGGGCTTTTTTGCATTCCTTCCAAGTGGAGAGCCCGCGACACATCCCGTGACCAACTCGCGACCAACCCGCGACCCAAACCACGTTCAGGGTACAAACCACATTTTTCGGCGCCTGCGGCGGGCATATTTTGCATTCGTTTCAGGTGGAGAGCCCGCGGCCCACCCGCGACCACGTTCAGGGTACAAACCACATTTTCGGCGCCTGCGGCGGGCATCCTTTGCATTCGTTCCCTGTGGAGAACCCGCGGCCCACCCGCGACCCAAACCTCGTTCCGTGTACGAACCAATTTTTTTGGCGCTTGCGGCGGGCTGCTTTTGCATTCCTTCCAGGTGGAGGTGGAGAGCCCGCGACCCACCCGCGACCTAAACCACGTTCACTGAACAAACCAATGCCGCACAAGCGCGGCGGCGGATTCTTGCATGCCGTCTGAGCCCGCAAGGACCTCTTCACGCCCCGCACATCCACGCCAGCCCGTCCAGCAACTTTGCCCTGGCGAGTTGCCTTGATCAGAGAAGGCGGGGAGCATAAAGTGGAAAAAAGGATTGCGTTGCAGTTATCTTGGGAAAGGAGGGGGAGGCAGGATGAGTAAACAGGGGACGAGGAGAACGTGGAAGAAGAGAGGATGTAAGGAGAACGTGGAGAAAGAAAAGGAGGAGGAGCAGGAGGACGAGGGGGAGGAGGGGGAGGAGGGGGAGGAGGAGGACGAGGAGGGGGAGGATGGGATGATGATGATGATGATGATGGACGACAATGGGAGGACGATGATGGAGGCCGATGAGGGGGAGGACGACAGTAGGAGGACGATGATGAAAGGACGAGGGGGGGGAGAGGGAGGACGAGGAAGAAGAGGAGGAGGACGAGGTGGAGGAGGAGGATGACGATGACGATGAGGACGAGGACGAGGAAGTGGAGGAGGAGGAGGAGGAGGAGGAGGAGAGCGCCATCGACAGGGAAGGTGGGGGCCACGAGGTCCGCCAGCTCGACGACGCCCGCGTCGCCCGCGCCCGCCCCCTCACTCTTATCCGCAATTGCGGGGTGCTACGTATTTTCTTTGCATGTTGCACATCGAAACTCAAGTCAGCATGGACTTCCCAAAGCAGATCAATATCAGCATCGAAATGATCATCGACATGCACATTGCGATGCCAATCGAACTACAAAAATAAAAGTAAATCAACATCGGAATCGACAAGGCAATCGGAATGGCAGTCGAAATGCAATTCGAAAGGCACATCGAACGAACTTTTCACATACTACCGAAACTCAATTCGACATGCAAATGACATTACAATCGACATGCAATTGAAACGTGTCGGAATGCAGTCCGCGACCGCGATCGCAATCCACATGAAAGCTCTTCAATCACCGATCTCTGTATCACCCGAAGGGGTGGTCAATGAGGTATCGTCAAGGGCTCCCAACTTCGCGCTTCGCGCTGCGCGAAGCGCGAAGCGCGAATAACTTCGCGCTCTCGCGCCGCCCTCCCAAAGGGAGAATAGGAGGACGAGGAGGAGGGGGAGAAGGAACGAGGACCGCGAAGCGCGAAGCGCGAATAACTTCGCGCCCTCGAGGGAGCCCTTGTATCGTTCGAGGCCTACAACCTGTTATGGAATGACGGACCGCTGAAAAACCCTATCGTGTCCAGGTGGACGTGTATTGGTTGTGCTTCCGTCTCACAGGCCGTACTCGCTGCAGATCTCGCGCGCTGTTCCTGGCATCTCCCAGGGTGAGATTGTCGAGGGACGGTCGTGAATCGCGGAGGCTTCAAATATCGCCTTCAAACCACGTGTCAAACACCGGTTCTGCCAAAAATGAGCGGGCAGGCTGGGCCACTCTATCGACTGCTAACCCGAATCACAGCCACCCCGCACGATCCCAGCCAAAAACAAGCTGAAATACCCCCAAGTGGCTCCCCCATGAGAGCTCAGAAATGCGATGCGATGCGTCAGAACCATGACCACTGGATAATCATGCCCCTGTAGATAGAGAGGAGTCCGAGGCGCAGCAGACACTTCAGATTCCAGGGGGGGCGACGCTCAGGCCTTCCTGCCGCTCTCGGAGAGACACTCTGACAAAACAACGGATCAAACGTACGTCGCTGAATTGGGGTCGGCGGCAGAGGCGGCAGCCTGTAAATAAAACTTGCAAGCATTTCACGGCTTCCCATGATCCAAGTACCGGAAATTTTGTTTTAAAAGGAATCCGGATTCTGAGGGTGCAACAGTTACGTTCATTCGCTGTGTTGAAGTCCCAAGAATGGCGTTCTGGCGCGATCAGTCAGGTTGATCCGTGGCGTTGGAGTCCCGAAAACGATGTTTTGGCATACTTCGTGCCTTCAAACGGTTGTCTTCCAACGAGGCAGTTCCCTCAATGGAAATGAACCGCTGTAGGGGCCTATGAAGGAGGAGCTTGGAAAGAGGGTTTATCATCATACCTTTTCCTGTCCTTCCCGTACCTCATTCTCCCCCCACGCTCCTTCCTTCCTACCCCCCAGTTTTCTGGGACTCTCATTGGCAGAATGCTCTGCTGTTTAGAACAATTTGCGTTTGTGGCTGAGGGCACGCGGCCGCGTCCACGACGGTTCCTTCCTCAACGCAACCACGCGGGATGGAATGATGAGGACCTTCGATCAAGAACGCCCTGCCATTCCGTGGATCACTGGATCTGCCCCCCAAGGCCAACTCCTCCCGAGGCCGACTCGGCCCCCGGAGGCCCGAGCGAGAGCGCGAGTGACGTCTACGGCGCCCCTCCACAGCGTCGCCTTCCTTGTCGGCCGACACTGGCAAGCGATACGCACATGGAGGAAACGCGCGGAAAAGGGAGCGGGAGAGAGAGAGAGAGAGAGGAGAGAGAGAGAGAGGGAGAGGGAAATCAGTAATACGAGGGACTGGGGGGGATCACGGCACGGGCGGATGCTTACCGCACCCATGTGGACCTAGGGAGTTAGGTGAGAAGTATGGACGCCACCGTCCCTGCCCACCATGAGCCTCCTGACATTTCCAATATCGTTGATGACTCTTGGGTTTACACTGGTCCTCCTCCTCCTCCTCCTCCTCCTCCTCCCCCTCCTCCCGTGGAGGTGTGGGGAGGAAGGAAGCTCAGAGGTGGGATGGGGCATCCCAGCAACAACGCCGGCAACGCTATACTAACCATCCTCGAACTGATCCCTAACCCTGAGATTGACAAGCCCAAGGCGATGACAATCTTAGGGATGTGCCTTCAGAAATTTAGGGTCTGCTTTTCCACTGGCCTTCCCCAGCTCGCTTGGTTTTGTTGCCATACACCTTCGAGGAGGTTTCCTTCTGGGTGTTGGCTTTGTTCCCTAGCAGTGTCAAGTTGCACTAAGAAGCGCAAAGCAAAGCAAGGCAACACCCAGCGACGCCAAGCAGCGCAAAGCAATGCCCATCAACGCTAAGCAATGCCGCTCAGAGCCAAGCAAAATCAGGCAGCGCCGCCAAGCAACGCCATGCAATACCGAGCAATGCCAAGCAATGCCAAACAATGCCAAACAACCCCAAGCAAAGCAACACCAAGTAATGCAACGCTAAACAAAGCAACGCAATACCGAACAATGCTAAGCAATTCCGCTTAGGAAACGTTCTTATAATTAGGGTCGCGCCGAGTTGTTTTGTTGCTCATCCAAACATCCACGGCGATCCCACGGCTCATTGAACCCGTCGTCTTGGCCGGTTTCGAGAAACCGACCTCGTCGACGAACTGCAGCCGCGAATTCGTTGCCCGTCTCGCGGCGATGCGCTCACCACATGGCACTGGACGCCCGCCATGCGGAAAAACTCTTGATGTGCTTCAGCTTCCTGGGCGCCACGACCTCGTACAGCTCCTTGACTGACACTGCTCTGTTCGCAATCTTGGCGCGCGAGATGCACCAATCTGTGTACTTGTACTCTTTTCCGTACTGAGTGCTGGGCACGACCATCGGCGACTGGGTGTTGAGGAATACCTCGAACACGAACTCTGGGTCGTGGCGACAATGCGATATGGCCTGATTGACGTTCTCCGAGAAATAAATTCCTGGGCCGTTCAACCCGTCGTCGCCTGGCAAGAAGCCGTTGGACCTGAGAATGCCCTCCTTCCCAGCTGCATCTGTCGCGTGGTAAACGGTGATCACGTAAGGGTTGGCTGGCTTGGCCTTGGGCTGCACAGGCTGCAGCTTGTCCCATGCCGCGTCGATTGCCTTCTTCTTGTACGCGCCCGTATAATAGGCGACATATTCCTCGTAGGTGTACGCCACCCCGTCTGTGTCATCAATGCGCATCCCAGACATCCTGCACTAGGGCGGGATGAACAACGCAAATAACGCTTGTTGCCGGCGACGAGCTGATACCTCGCCGGGAAATCGCTCGAGCCAGCATGCCGTCGGTGGGATGCCAGAAAAGCGGAACAGCGAAGCAGGAGGCTGAAGGCGACCGACTGGCATACGGTGCACAGGAAATCCCAGCAGCCGGCCCCTACAATCTTGCAGTCCTGGGGGGGAAGGTCCACCCCTCGCCCTACCCCCTCTCTGCTGTCCTAGCTCGGGCGGGTCTCTGGGCAGCTAGGCCGAACACTGCGTCCAACAGGCAAGGAGCAAGGCCGGAGACGCCGATGCTCAAAAAGCATCGTGAACCAACCTAGCGGCTAGCGAAGGATCCAACCATGTGCAGCTGCGTGCAGTATGCCGGGGAGGGCCCTCTCGTGTCGCGGATGGACGGGAGTTGGAACAAGGGGGCGCTTCCCGTAGAGATGGGAATGCCCTCAAGGACGTGCGAGGAGGGGACTTCGGACGGGAGGGTGTATTGCAAAATCGCTGCTGCAGCCTGTGCTTCCTCTGGTATTCCTTATTTTTCCTTCGCCCTCCTCCATCTACGGCGGGGCGGACGACTACAGCGAAGAGGACAACCAAGACGACGGCAGCGACGAGGACGACGGCGACAAGGACGACTGACATGACGACGACGATGACGACGTCGACGTCGACAAGAACGACGACAGCAGCGACGATTTCGAGGACGATGAAGACGGCCACGGTGACGGTGACGGTGACGGTGACGGTGTTGACGATGACGGTGACGGTGGTGACGATGACGGTGACGACGATGACGACGACGACGACAAGGACGACGAGGACGACGAGGGCGACGATGGCGACGAGGGCGACGGAGACAACGAGGACAACGAGGACAACGACGACGACGACGAGGACAAGGACGACGAAGAAGACGACGACGACGCGGTCGTCGACGACGACGCGGTCGTCGACGACGACGACGACGGCGGCGTCGAGGACGAAGACGACGAGGGCGGCGTGCCGCGGGGGCCGCCGCGCGCCCGGGAGGCGGCCGCGTCCTGGGTAGGCGGCCGAGAGCTCGTGGACCCAGGGCTGCCCGTGGAGCAGCAGGTGCAGGGACACCTCCGGGGAGGAGGAGGAGGAGGAGGAGGAGGAGGAGGAGGAGGAGGAGGAGGACGAGGAGGAGGAGGAGGAGGAGGAGGAGGAGGAGGAGGAAGAGGTGGTTCGCCCGCGGGGTGCCCCCAGGGGGGGAAGGGGGGCCTTTTTTCCTGCTGCGCTCGACAACCTTGGAGCGAAGCTCGCCCGGAGATGCTCCTCGGCGACGGCGCCACAGACCTGGAGCCAGAGCGGAAACCAAGGCCACCTCCACCACCGCCAGGGAGAGGGCCCCCTGAATTCTCTCACCGGCTTGGGCGGGAAGGCGTACACAAGACTGGCCAGCGCAGAAGAGGAAGAGGAAATCGAGGAGGATGAGCAGGAGGAGGAGGAGGAGGAGGAGGAGGAGGAGGAGGAGGAGGAGGAAAAAGACAAAAAAGAAAAAGAAGAAGGAAGGGGCGCCGGCAGCTTATAAACACCGGCCTTTTGTGGCGGCTGCAGCCGACAAAACTGGCAATGCTTCTCTTGCGCAACAAAAGAAACGAAGAAAAGGAAGAGAAGGAGGAGGAGGAGGAGGAGGAGGAGGAGGAGGAAGAGCAGGACGAGGAGGAGGAGGAACAGGAGCGGAGGAGGAGAAGGAGGAAGAGGAAGAGGAGGAGGGGGAGGAGGAGGAGGACGACGAGGAGAGGGAGGCGGAGGAGGAGGAGGAGGAGGACCCGAGGATTAACCCAAGCCGCCGATGTCGGGCCGCCTCGGAGGGGCCAATTAAGAGGCCTGCCTTCGGAGAGACGCTGGGGGACCCACAGACACATCCCAGTGGGGGCTCGCCCCTCTCACATTTACTCTCTTTACCGAAGTCTCTGATGTGACCCGACCCCTCGCGCGCCCTGCAGCCACGCGTCGTGCACACCCAACGCGGCTCATAATACGCCACCGCGTGGGTCCAATGAACAATGCGAGAGCCGACTGCAACACAGGAGCGAGTAAGTGGCTGGGGCGGGGGCGGGCCACGACACTTGGAACAAAGCCTGCCAGATGCGGTTGCTCGACGACCTTCTGATGCGACCTCTGCACTGGCCAGAAGAACGGCGGGCGGAGCCTTTCTCGACCAGGCTGTGGGAGTTGGCCAGGTTGGCCTTCTAGAAGGCTGTGGGGCGGGTCCCGCGCTGGTGGCGCGCCGCCTGCCTGGTCTGGATAGCAAGCAAAGTGGCACAAGCGATGCGAAGCCTAATAAAAGACAGCGCTGAGTTCGACCACTTGTAACAATACATATGGCTCTTTGGCCTTAAGGATCTGGTGGGATTCTTCTGCGTCCGCAGCGAGCTGATCCGCAATATGGTTCCCTCTCCCGGCTAGAAGAGGGGCTCTTTGGCGAGCGACCCATGGGCCTCTAAGTGGCCGTTGAGAAACTTAACCGCGACACTTTAAGCTCCGCGCGCGCTCACCTCGGCCCCGGGGGCCTCCCAAATATTACCCTTGACGGTCCAACCAGCCCGCGGGCCCGTAGCCCCGCCGCGCTGCCCGGCGGCCTCGGCGGACCCCTCAAGCAAGCGCAAGCCCTGGCCGCAGCGGCGGCACCTCGCGCCCGACGCCTCCGCGCCGCCGCCGCGGTCTCCACGGGCGAACTGGCGCGCGCCCTGCGGGCGCAAAGCGGCTCGGGCCCACCGCGCCATAGGGCCGCGGCGACGGCCCCAGCGCGCCAGGCGGCGGCGCCGCCCAGGCTTTGGGCGCCAGTCTTCGCGCTTAGGTCGCGGGGCAGGCATCCCGCCGCCCTCTCGCCGCCATTTCGCAGAGCCGCTCATCGAAGTCGGCGCGCTGCGGGCGGAGGGGACAGCGGCCCCGAACTCGGCGGAGGTCGTCGGCCACCTCGCCGCGCTCGCAACCTGCCCCCCCCCCGCCCGGGACCTGTTGGCATCTCGCCGGGCCCCCGGCGCTGGCCGCCATGGCCTGCAGCGGCGCGGTCGCCTCGGCGCGGCGCGTCCTCCCCCACTTACGCAGCGCGAACTGCACGCCCGCGACGCCCGCGCCGCCCCGCGCGCCCTCTGCGAGGTGGCCAGCCGCGGCCTGCCTCCAGAGCTTCGCCCCGACGTCGCCAATCACCGAGTCGATGGCGCCCGCGGGGTCACGGCGCTCGCTCCATCAGCCAGCGCCCATTCACCCCCTCAAGGGCCCGCCCAGGTAGCGGAGCCGCGCGGCGACCAGCCCGCGCCCAGCGGCGCCAGCATGAGCGACCCCGTGGCCCCTCGCCGTCGCCGCCACCTGCGCGCCGCAGGCACCTTCAGCAGCCGCGCGTAGATCAAGGGCCACGGCTTCCGCGGCCATCTGGCGGACGTCGCGGGATTTCGCACGCAGGTCGAATTAGGTCGCAGCTGCGCTCAGGGCAGCTCCAGGGCGGGGCCCCCCCCTTCCAGCGTCTGGAAGCGGCGGCGCAGCGCCCCGCGCGCGGCTTCGCCAGAGCGCCAGCGCATCGGCGGCGGGCCTGCAACACGGCCGCGGGGGGGGGGGCCATGCGCCTTCGCACCGTGCAGCAGCGAGGGCATCGAGCCCCGGCTGAGCAGCCCGACCGTCCTCCCACGGCGAAGGCTGCGACGCTTTCTCCCCCCGAGCGAATGCATCGTTGGGGAGCCGACCCCCTTCTCGCCATGTGCGCTGGCCTTCTACGCGCTCCAGCCGCTACTCGGTCGACTCTGAGGTCGCAGCCCTCTCCCACGGCCTGAAACTCAACTCCTCTTTGCACTTTGCCTCAGCTTGGCGACAATCCCCCTGGCCATCCCCGCGTTCGAGGTGAATATCGCGCCAATGTCCGCCAGCTCCAGCCCCTCCCCTCGCAGCGCATCGCGAGAGGTGGCCATGGCCCCCAGCAAGATCTCCTCGATCGCGGCAAGGCTGCCGAAGACCCAGCGTGGGTGCGTCGTCGAACCCCCTCGGCTGGCAGCGGCTGCGTCGCGCCGTGAGCTTCCCGAGCGCTCGGTGCGCCACCGCCCTCGCAAGGTTTCCGACGCGCCACGTCGGCCCTGTGGCCCCAGGGCCGCCAATCGTCGGTTTAGAATGTGCTGCTCCTTCCGGCGCCGGACACGCTCTTTCTTCTCCAATCTCGTCGGGCGGGCTGGGGGTGGAAAGGGGGTGGCGGCAGCAGGGCGAAGGGGGGCGCGTTTTTCCGGACTCGCGTCGACTGCCGAGAACGGGCCCCGCCCGGGCTCGCCCCGGGCGCGCGATCGACGCTGGGGGGCGCCGGACTCGAGCGAGGGCCGGCGCAGTCTCGGCGCGGAGCGAGAGGACCTGACCGACGCGGGGCTTCCAGGGCACTGGGGCTGTCTCGAGCCCTCCGCAAAGATGCCGGGCCCCAGGGTTGAGCAGCGCGCCGTCTGTCAGCGACGGCTCGCAATCGCTTTTGAAGCAGGCGTGCCCTTCGACCGACGCAATCTGGGCCCCTGGGCGCTGGGCCCATCCCGACTTGCGAAAGGCCGATGGGGGGGCGCCGAAACCGCTGGCAACTACCCGAAGGTTTTGCTGCGTTTTGACGAAGGCACCGAGGGAAGGGAGCTCGCGGGCATTGTTACCAGGGATGCGATTCGAGCCCTCGAGATACAGACTGATGACAACGGCCGTTGCCCCCTGTCGATGCCAAGAGACGGGCATCTGAACATGGGGCCCACAACTTGCAGCTCGCGAGGCGCCCGACACCGCGGCGCTAGCCGACGCGCAGTAGTGCCTCGCAAGCTCGCGAGAAGAAAACCCCGGCGGCGCGCGCGCAGCCGCGCAGGCACCGCCGCACGAGCCTGCCTCGGAGCGCTCGCTCTCCCGAGGCGCCTAATGTCTGCAAGCTCGCGAGCGCGCAAATGGGCATCCTGCGACGCGCAGGGGCCGAGTGGCTCTATCTTGCGCGGCTCTTGCACAAACTTCGAGGCTGCATGCCCCCCCTGCGCGATGTCGACGACAAAGACATGCCCGGGCGGGCGCCCGGCGCGCGGACACCGCCGCCCGGGCCCCCCTCCCCGGTTCAGGGAGCGGGCTCGTCCGTGGCCGCGGCGCCCTGAGCGCGCGCCTCGGAGAACAGAAAATGATCCCTGGCCGCCGTCGCCGCCGCTGCCCGGGGCCCTGCTGTCTGCGCTGCCGCGGCGGC